GTCATCCAAAATACCAATCTATACCAAAGACTCAAAGGCGCAAAACATTGTAGTTATTTGAATAGAATTGAAGGCCATTCTAGCACTTGCTTGTTTTTGGAAGTGGGGTTTCGTAGCTCCATCCACTTAAAGTCGTCGGTTAACATTTCTTAACATTATAAACATCATCAATAAGTTTCGATTGTATCTTTAAAAGGTATGATTATATATTTTTAAACTATTTATGTGATTAAATATCAAACAATATTCGCCTTAATCTGTTCTTCCTATTCAAATTCACAAGATTAAAAAAAGAAAAAAAAAAAAAAACAAAAAAAACAATTCACTTAAAAACAACTAATGAAGACAGAGAGAATATTACCTAATGAATGCAAATATATATGCAATGAGTGATTAAGGAGCATATATAGATTAGTGGTACACCAAAGAAGACACCCAAAATGTGACTAAGAAAATGTTAGTCCATTGACGTCATAATATAAGGCCATAAGCTAAGGTATGGACCTCATTGATAATGATAGATAAAGATTGCGACTCAACAAGGTGGAATAAAAATAGTGTGAAATACTATTTTGAGGAGACCTTTTTTTTGTAAAAATTAAAATTCTCTGACGATATTACTCCTACTATTTGAAAAATATTTCATTTGACTAGTAAAAGTCTCAAGTCTTCATGCAAAATTTTTGCTATAATATTAACTAATTTCACTATTATTATGTTTTATGTACAGTGTATATGCAATTACACAAATTAGTAGGGTATGTAATCTTGGCAGGATATCATTCAAATCACCCATCATGGTGTGGACCCTTCACGCGTAAATCGTATTTTTGACGCAAAAAATTTTAAGATGTTGCGATTACTACCAAACCCCTATTAAACCCAATTATGACGTCATTATATCACTTTAACCTATGGTTAAATCTCTTAACCATGACGTCATTATATCCCTAACCCATTTTTTTTTTGGGGGGGGGCTGGTTAAAGCCCTTAACCATGGTCAAACACGGGTTAAAGGGATATAATGACGTCATAGTTGGGTTTAATGGGGGTTTGGTAGTAATTGCAACATCTTAAAAATTTTTGCGGTAGTAATTCACAACTTTTTTAGGGTTCGTTTGGCATCACTATGGTTTTCTGTTTTTTGGTTTTTTGTTTTTTGAAATCATATGATATATATCATATAATTAATCAAAAATTAGTCAAACTTATTGAAATCATGATAATTTTGAAAACTGACAACAGAAAAGTGAAAACACCTTTTTCTTGTTTCCTGTTTTTGGTTTTCAAAAAAACTAGAAACTGAAAACAAAAAACAATGCCAAACAAGCCCTTAATTTGCGGTAGTAATTTACAAATTGGTATTAACTTGCGGTAGTAATTAGCAAATTATATATATATATATATATATATATAAAGTAGGTGAGATTTTGTCAACATACATGCTCTTTGCATTTTTTCCAAAAACCTGGCCTGAAAAATTAAATACTTGTAATAATAATAATTTCATTGTTTTCTAAGTATTTTTCAAATGTTATACGTAGTATATGTTAGGCCTAATAGGTTCACAAGTTAGCTCAATAGCACTCCATCACGCATACATGTACATTGACTCAGATATGTATTTTGAAGCCTTTTAAATTATGACCAATCACCTCAAGATCAAAGATTAATCAATGAGTTGAGAGTTGAGACTTTTAATTTGGAGTTTGTGGGCAATGCTAATGGATTACGAAATGAAGTAAAATTAGTTATAGCTCAAGTCAAAGGCCTCAAACTATTGTTAAACCGTTGTTTTTAAAAAAAAAAAAAAAAATTAATTTTCCAATTATTGTTGTTGATTGTTTGTAGGGTGAACATTTTTTAAACCTAGGTTAAGGATATAAAAACAATAATATTAACGGAATTTGATCTCATGTTTTGCCTAGCATTATATATTAAAGCTTTACCAAGTAATCGTATATACAATACACAAAGTTTAATTTATTAACTGATAGTTAGTACAAAGAAAGTAGTAATCTTATGTACAATACACAAAGTATAATTACAGTAACACTTCAATATATTTTGACTGATTTGATCTTAGCTACAGTTAGCAACATCTCCTTTGTTTTCGCACTTTAACGATTAGTGACGGGATGGATGTAATGCACTTATTATTAAATACGAGTATCATTTTCAAATATTGCGATGAACTTTAATTTATCTTATGAAATTCTTTCGACTAAGATAATAAAAATCGAACTAAATCGTCTTTAAACACAAATGATGATCGTACTTTATATTCGATCTTTACACAAATTTGTAACCTTAATAATTGAGAACATGTTATACTCGCAGTCCTATGTAGTACATGTCGAAATTGACCAAGCAAAATTATTACATATAATTTTTTTTGTCTTAATTAACTATTATCATTATTATTTGATTATTTCATATCAATGGTATAATTAGATTAATAAAGAAAGTAAACCTTGCAACATAATCAACCACCAAATAATTAGTTACTTAATATGGATAAATGAAAACGATATACTTGTAAGATAAAGGACAAGTCATAAAAGCTGTATTGGAAATTAAGGGGCAAGCAATAGCTGTCTTTGAAAAGGATTCACATGAATAATAAAACTATACAACGGTGTTATTTGAAGATGCATGTTTTTGAGTCACGTTTTTATCCAATGAAGAGAAACCTTTATACCAAAAGTGCATTTTACAATTTAATTATATGTGACATATAATGTGAATCCTATATATAATTTCCATATAACCTAAGATATTGATTCGAATTTATATTACCGACTTAAAAAGGCATTAGCTAACACTATCCAAACATTGATAAGGTAAACATTAATTTGGTGATCCGATTTGTAATATCCTAGTCAGCAAACTTACACGTAGGTATGAAGTAAGAAACTATATTCTATCCTTATGTTTTAAATTAAAGAGCACTTTATAGAAATTTATTTTGACAAATATCATACCATATATTTTACTCCCCAATCAAGAAATTTGTATAATAATTAGCCACTATGTATGTAAATTGCTGTAAAATTTAAGATTTTATTGCAGCTAATACTTTGTACATATTGTTAGCCACCGGTTTAATTAAATGGTGTATTTTTTAAGTTAAGTTTTACTTTGTGTTTTACATAATACTCCGTAATTAATAATTTTCAAATTCAATACAAATATTGACAAATGTAACATTTTTCTATGCCAATACTAGACAATTGTTATATAGTAGGATAATATTACGTAAGATATGTATAATTGTCTAGACTTTACTACATCATTACATTTTACATACATATTACCTTCATAATTCATCTGGTTAATCGGTCATACGACTCCCTCCGTATTTAAATACTTGCTCCATTTTTCTTGAACACGAATGCCGATGTTAATGTTTGATCAATAATATCTTTAATTATCAATAAGTATAAATTTTAACAATTGAAAATTAATAATCTATTTATTGAGACAATTCCAACAAGTATACACAAGACTTTTTTTTTATGTGTAAATCACAAACATTAGTTAAAGTAGGACGAATAAATAGTGTAAATAATAGAAATGGAGCAAGTATTTAAAAACGGATGGAGTAATTAAATTTGTTTCTTAAAAAAAAACACGGTACTCTCCACTATGGGATAAGGATATACTAATAATTGTACATGTGAATATGAGATGATGTAGACTACTATGATGTGCTTAAGCAAATACAAGTAATACAAGTAATAATGAATTGATTCAATTTTATACTTTGATTCAATTTTATGTATTTGTTAATTTAGATTTCATTTGTAGATGTCGAATGGCTTTTTATTAATGAATTGATTTGTTTCAAAAAAAAAAAAAATACAAGTAATAATTCTATTTTTTACAAAGAGAAAGTTAGGCAGAAGGGGTCGTCAGTCTTCATCGCCCACGAGCATTGGGCCAAGAGTCAGTCTAGCTCTCGCTCGTGTCCAATTTCCTTATCCTTTATTTAGGGGCGTAGTAGGCACTATGTCTTTTTTTAAAAAAAGTAATAATTAAATTAATTTAATTTTAAAATTATTTTGGTGGACGATAACTTGTGAAGTTAGCAAAATAGGTGGGCCGCGTGGGCCGTTGCTTCAATAGTTCGGCTCTGAATCAGCAACCCAATTGTAATCCGGTTTGGTTGAAAGTCTTATACAAGTGGTACTCCAATAGTCAAATACCAAGTATTCAAATTGCTCTAAAATTTTAAAAAATTGTGGCTTGATTCCAACACTATTTAACAGTAATCAAGCAAGTAAACGTCCACACTATTTGTGTGTTTATTCGGTGTTAGTACTAACCTCGGAATTAATAATAAGGGGAGAAATATAATTGATAAATAAGTAGAACCATTGCTTGGAAGTTGGAACAAGGAAAAAGAGACTATAGGTTAGTTGGAACCTAAAAACCAATTTGTTAAAATTTTGAGTAATACAGGAAGTCTAATGTCATAACGATAATTTTTCACTTCCATCTTATCTTAAATTTGATCAATAAAGGTTTATTGTCACTCAAATTCTAACTTATAGGTACACATATTTTAATGTAATTAAAATTTCGTATTCTCCGTTTATCCATCTTTAATACGGAGTACATCTTATAATCTTATCTTATTAGTACCCAAGTAATTCAGAAGCACACAAACTCTAATGTCGCCAATATTGTTAATAAAAACTAGATTAAATAAAATTTCCTAAAACATATAACAAGAAGTCAGCCATAATATAGCACATTCATCCAACGTTCCAATTTCACACATAAAGGGTTCCGTTGGCAATAAAATTGCATGCAATTTGCATAAAATCCTGAGAAATTTCAAAGTCAATGCTAATTTCTTTAATCCTATCCTTAATAAAAATATCATTAATATTATTACAAATAAATATCCAAATAATTTAATTTAACAAATCATAATACTAAGCAAATTATAATTGACAGCTACCACTTTCCTTATTCTACGACTAAAGATACCAACAGTCCAACATATCTCCCTATTTATACCCCCTCTTTTCTACTCCCACTTCTCTATTATTCACTCTCTTCTATTTTTTTCTATTCTCTAAATTCCTCTGTTTTCAAATCCTCTGTTTTTTTTTTCATTCAAGAAGGAAAAAGATGCCGGCAGGCGGGTTCGTAACGCAAGGGGGCAAAGAATACCCCGGAAAACTCACCCCTTACGTCCTTGCAACATGCATTGTTGCTGCCATGGGTGGTCTCATCTTCGGTTATGACATCGGAATTTCAGGTAATTAAAACAAATCAAACTAACATATTTTCCGTTCAATTCTACTAGTCATAATAAAATATAACACGTTAGATATGTTTCACGTTTGTTACAACGGTACTAATTAAATTAATTTTAATTTTGAACGCGTGTTGTGTGTAGGTGGTGTGACATCCATGCCGGACTTTCTGAAAAAGTTTTTCCCATCGGTGTACCGAAAAGAAACGCAAGATCAATCAACAAATCAGTACTGCAAATTTGATAGTGTGACATTAACATTGTTCACATCATCTTTGTATTTGGCTGCTTTGTTAGCTTCACTTGTTGCATCATACGTAACAAGAAAATTGGGCAGAAAATTGTCTATGTTATTTGGAGGTGTTCTTTTCTGCGCTGGTGCAATCATCAATGCTTTGGCACAAAATGTTGCCATGCTTATTATTGGTCGAATTTTGCTGGGTTTTGGTGTTGGATTTGCCAATCAGGTAATTTTCTTCTTTTTATTTTGTTTTTTGTTTTATTTAACTAAATTAAATTAGATTAAAGAAAGAATTATTCTTTGTTTGATTGATTGTTCTTTTTTGTTTCTGTGAATTTTTTGGGTTCTGAAAAAGGTTTTTCTCTGTCTCAATTATGAATTTGTGGATTTTTTTAATTTAATTTTACTGATTTTTTTTTTGACAGAAAAATCCAAATTGAGTTTTTCTTTTTCTTTTAAAAAAATTTAATTTTTCATGGTTTTTGTCTATTTGTTTCAAGATTCTGTTTGGGTTTTGTCCTGTTAACTTCTGAAAAAATAATGTTGGTACAACTACCTTTTTCTTCATTCATTAATTATAATTTTTGTATGTGTTTGAGTTCATGAACTAAATATTAGTGCTTTGTAATGTTTTGCTGTTCTTTCAAATAATGTAAGCAGATTAGTAGAGTGAAATTACACTATGTTTGTGGTTGATCTTATCTGAATTAATGGTTAGCGAAATATTATGTTCAACGAATGTGAAATATTATGTTCAAAGAATGTGATAAACCTTACCTAAATTGACCGATATCTAAATTGTAATTTTATGGTAACATATACTCCGTATTTTTTTTATTTTTTTTTTTGAAGTCCGGTAATTCAAATATTGGGTTTATGATTTAGGCTTTTAGAATTGTACAATAGAATAGATGGATATAAAAAAAATAAATAGCTAAAGATAACGAATTATTTGAAATTATTTGATTCGATTTCTGGCTTAAAAATACTATATGTTGCCATATCTACACCATCATGCATCAATTATGGACGTGTATGTGAACAAATAAATATTAATTGTTCATATTTCAACCATTAATTTCTTCATAATGATTCAGCAAAAATATAAATTTATAAACGTTTATGTTCCGGCGTTGAATTCAATTCAGAGTAGTTGGGCAATTTGCAGAAAATTTAAATCACAAAATTTATTTACTCCTTTTAATGATGATAAAGTTAATTGAAATTATTTAGGATAATGACTAATGAGGTAGGGACAAAAAAAGTAATGTTATTTTTTTCATCAACTTGGTATATTTTTCTTCTAAATTGTGCTTTTCTTCTACAGCTTTCAATTCAACCAATGTAAGAGTAGTATTTAATCATATCTTAACTTAAAACTTTCTTGGTTATGTACAATCACAGATTAAACAGTCAAAACCAATGTGACTAATTTGTGTTACTTGTGGTCCATATACTTAATACATTTTCCTTGTCCCAAAAGATCTCAAATTTAACCAATATAATTTCTCCATCTCATTCACTAAGCGTGATAATTTATCCGACTTTTAATACGGAGTACTTCATTATAATCTTTAATAATTGCCCAATTTATCTTTTTCGACACGTTCTTCAATTTGTCTCATGACAATTTTGATATGTGAACCTCATATGTTTCTAGTTTATATGAAACCTTCGAATTTAAGAGACAGGAGTAATAGACATGAATATTTGATTTTAGGTCGTTTTAAAGCTAAGGAATTAAATTACAATTAACATACTTGATAAGAGAATTATGCAATGAAATTTCCTTTGTTACATACTTGAGTTGATTAATTTGTGCAAACTAACTTATGCTTAATAATTTTATGTGATTACAGTCAGTACCTCTATACCTATCAGAAACAGCACCTTACAGATACAGAGGATCACTCAACATTGTATTCCAACTTTCCATTACAATTGGTATCTTAATAGCCAATGTACTAAACTATTTCTTCGCCAAAATCCATGATTGGGGTTGGAGATTGAGTCTAGGAGGTGCCATGGTCCCTGCTATCATCATCAGTGTGGGCGCGTTACTCCTCCCTGACACCCCAAACTCTTTGATCGAACGTGGTAAGCGTGATGAAGCCATCCAGAAACTTAAAAGAGTACGTGGAGTGGATGATGTTGAAGACGAGTTTAATGACCTTGTGGCTGCCAGTGAGGCCTCCAAGAAGGTTGAACACCCTTGGAGGAATCTCCTTCAGAAGAAGTATAGGCCTCATCTTACTATGGCTATCGCGATCCCTTTCTTCCAACAGCTTACTGGTATCAATGTTATCATGTTCTATGCTCCTGTCCTGTTTAAGACTATTGGGTTCAAGGACAATGCTTCTCTTATGTCTGCTGTTATCACTGGTGGAGTCAATGTGGTTGCTACTTTGGTTTCGATTTATGGTGTTGATAAATGGGGTCGTAGGTTCCTCTTCCTTGAGGGTGGTGTTCAGATGTTCATCTGTCAGGTACTTTTAATCTTTTCTCCTCATATTTTTCTTTGTTTAGGCTAATAATGTTACATCAGTTCATCATTTAACTGTAATCGTTAATTCGTTACACAAAATGTAGCTGTCTTAGTTCATTTAGAAGTTTATAAATTACTGATGTATGAAAAGAAAAAAATAACAACTGATACATAAAGATTGTCTAAGAAAATTTGCTGCTGTTGAATTGCTGATAGCTGCCTTAGCCCATTTAGAAGTTTATAAATTACTGATGTATGAAAAGAAAACGAAATTCTAACTGATACATAAAGATTGTCTAAGAAAATTTGTTGCTGCTGAATTGCTGATACAAACTTTGTTATAATGTTACAGGTAATTGTGGCAATTTTTATTGGAGTGAAGTTTGGAGTAAGTGGAAACGCCACTAACCTGCCAGAATGGTACGCGATAGTGGTGGTGCTCTTCATATGCATCTATGTGTCTGCCTTCGCGTGGTCATGGGGTCCATTGGGATGGCTAGTACCTTCAGAAATCTTCCCCTTGGAGATCAGGTCAGCAGCACAAAGTATCAACGTGTCTGTCAACATGTTTTTCACTTTCGTAATAGCTCAGATTTTCCTCACTATGCTCTGCCACTTCAAGTTCGGGCTCTTCCTCTTCTTTGCCTTCTTCGTCGTGGTTATGTCATTGTTCATCTATTTCTTCCTCCCCGAGACTAGAGGCATCCCTATCGAGGAGATGAGCATCGTATGGAAGAACCATTGGTACTGGGGCAAGTACATTCCTGATGAAGATCTCCCTCATGGTGCTCATGCTCTTGAAATGGGCAAGAGTAATGGACAACAAGGTCCTAAACTTGTTTAAGCAATATTTGAAGAATTGAATTTAACTAATTAAAGTTTCATAGGACAACACACAGAATTGTATTTAATTATCTTATTAGATTAGCTCTTTTTATTACTTATTTAAGCTTTTGATTGGTACATTAAGGAGGGATTTAAAGGATGATGGGATGTTTTAGTGTTTGCATTCGTCTATATATAAACAAGCAATTAGTTTATTGAATCTCAACTAGCCTTCTGGCCCGTGCAATGCACGGCTCGTTCAAAGAAAATTACATTGAGAAATGAGTGAGAAAATACCAATAAATAATTATGAGTGTAATATGTAACTGAAAACATAATTAAAGAAATAAAAAATTTGGGACTTTAATTTGAAATGAGACTTGATTGAAAGAAGATGGAGGGACTAAAATCAAAGATACAAAATAAAAATGTTGAATTAAAGAGGGGAGATGAAGATGAAGTGTTTGATGAAAGAGTTTAGAAAAATTGTATAATTAAAATAAAATAGGTAAAATGACATGTGGCACGTTGGGTTGAAGAAGAAGTTAGGGAAGTGTAATAGAATGATGACATATGTCTCTTTTGGTTTGCTTTTTTAAATACTAAGTATAGATATAGATTATTATTATCTTAATCAAGTTAATTTGCTATATTGCAATGTGATTTTTCTTTTGTTGAATTTAGTCAAACAACAATTTGGTTGCTAAATTGTTTGGTAAACAAGTTTACTTTTCATAGTTACATTATTACAAATACAAAATAATAAAAGAATTAAAAAAAAAAGTAAAGACTGAAATTGGAATGGGCTGGCAACATTGTTGGTCCGTTTAAATCTGCTATAGCATATTGTAATGGAAATGCAAACACTATACAATTACATCATACCAAATTATAACATTGTTTTGCAAACGAAGGAATAGAACAAAGTGTAATAACAACTTTCACAAGGTTTAATTAAAATTAACAATGATAATTTTAAGGAGGTGTTTGGTTTGGATAATGAAAGCGGAGTGAAACAAATAAGAGGAGGGAAAGAGTATTTGTTAAGAGCAGAGTAATTGTAACTATTATCCTAAGTTTTTTAGAGGTATTATCCTTAGCTAATGGTAATTGTTACCACGCCTTTTAACCAAACACATGATAACGGTATCGGTTTAATTGAATCTGTTTTCAATCCAAAAAATACACTAACCAAACACTCCCTAAAAGTGATATACAACCTTGCCACATTTTAACTATTTTTTATTACTCCGTATTTTGTTTGCTTTTTGTGAATTTTATGCTAAAGGTAAAACTACTTAAACTAAATAATAGGAGTGCAATATCATAATAATATAATATGATTGGGCGCATTTTTTTCTTCTTTCTATTTCATGTGACCATGAACAAACCACTCAAATCTATTTTAGAAATTTCCTTTGAAGAGTCTTTCTTTACAAGTACAACCCTACCCAAGGGTCATCATGGATTTTGTAACAACTTAAAATGATGACAAGCTTCAACGAAAAATATATATTATTCCTTTAACTTGGATCCACTTCTTTTCATTCCTTTTTACTCTCTTTTGTCATTGGTTTATATAACTTAGTCCCCCCCCCCCCCAAAAAAAAAATAAAATAAAATGTTTGTATATAATTCTACAAGTACTTTTCTCTAATTCAAAATATCAACTTGTTAATTTTTCAAAATTTAGTTTTACAGTCTGACGCTAATAAACTTTGAGTGGCTCTTTATAGACCCAATCATACAACAACAATATATAGCAACAAAGTTCCTTAAAAAAAAATGTGTATAGAGTATATAGCAACAAAGCATTATATAAATTTCAGATCTAATAAGATGTATGCATGCATGTATCAACAAGTTTTATTGTTGTAAATTACGAGTACATAATTTAATAGTTTGTCCGTCTCAAAATAATTACAATATTTTTAGTTTTGCACTATTTGCATTTTATATGCTATTTCATATTTTACCAGTGTTATTTGAAAACTTACTAATATTTCCTTTTTTTTTTTTTCGAAGCCTCTAATATTGCTTACTTGTAATTTGCTACGTACATTATACATAGGATGCCATTGTATACTTAATAAAGGAGGTGATGTATGCGAAAGAATTAAAAGCATAAAGACACATATATAAATCATGAGTTCATACGATTCCATTGCTTTAATTTTATTGGATTTTACTTTTTTGAGTCACGAATTATTTGGTGCATTCATATAGTAAGGAATTTAATGGGAAAGTTTTATATTTCGTATAGCAATTGCAGCATAACATAAAACATCCTTTATCCTTTTCACTTTTTGCAATTTTTGTGGATAATTTAGGGGAAAAAAAAGTGTATTTTTAAGCTTTGAGGTTGTTCCTTAACTAAAGAGACTAGAAGAGTGAACATTAAGCTTTTCTTTCTGTTTGAAACTTTATTGATCCACTCCAACTTCTTTTCGGAAAGATATGTCATATGTGCGTGCCCTCTTGTAAATGAGAGCTACGTATTTAAAGAGAAATTCATGATTTTCAAGCGTATTATTTGGGAATGCTAATTTCTTCAAAAATGCATATTGGGTTATGGATATGCCTATATATATTGAGTAATTGTGTATGAATAAAATAAAAATGGTCTCGAGTAAGTTTTTAGTTGAGTTGAGAGTTAGTATCATTTGTTTAATGATTTATTTATGTCAAGTTTGTCGAGTAAAGAAATGTTTGTTTATTAGGACTCAGGAGTACTTGTATTCCTTGATCTAAACACATGTACTCCTTGATCTAAACACACAGTAGCAAATGTTTGTTTCAAAAAATGTTTGTATATTAGGACTCTTAGTAGCAAAATACCAATGCCTGAAATAGGAATTATGTTTTTCACGTACATCTGCTTACATTTTACACTTATACACGCTGCCGCATTTCACTTTGGTTTGGTAATAGCAAGAAGGCTGGGCTATGATAGAGTTCATCTTGAGACTGACGCGAGCAGTGTAGTGAGAGCTGTGAAGAACAAATCCGTGGGCTTTTCTCCTGTGTTTATGCAATATGATGATATCATTAGCCTTTCTTCCTATTTTAGTTCCTTTTCTTTTTCTCATGTCAAGTGTGCGGGTAATACTCTAGCAATGGGATCATAGGGGTTGTAATGAGTTTGTCTCCCTTACTCTTTTTCTCCAAAGCCTAACTACTTTGATGGAAATTGTTCTTATTTAACGAAATTTGCAACTTGGTTTCAAAAAAAAATAAAAAAGAATTTACAGCTTTTTAATTTTTTTATTTAGTACAAATATGGAATCATGGGTACCACACTACCACTTGTGAGTTGTAAATCTTGTGATTTGCCCATTAGCCATTGCCTTAGCCCCTAGGTACCAAATTACTACAAAAAAGTTTTAAAGATAAAGATAAACCTAAACCCAGCCCAAGACCAAGTCATAATAACCCAGCCCAAAAAGTATAAAAGATAAACCTAAACCCAGCCCAAGACCAGATTATGACTAGAGCTATCCTTTGCCAGACTTTCCTATGAATGGAGATGGACTTTGATCTTTTTTTTCGCGTAAGCAGAACTAATCAAGTATGTAAAGGTGATAATGAATTAATGAGTTATGGTATTCGTCACAAAAAAAAAAAAAAAAAAAAAAAAAAAAAAAAAAAGTTATGGTAATTTGTGCTGTTTCAATTTGGATCGGTCAAACCTTGGCTTGATGGGGATCAATTAGAATTTGGAGTTGGCTTGAGGCGTAAATGGTCATAAAATAATGTGACAAAACACGTGATAGTAAAAGTCTTCCGTCAAAATTTAAGTGGGGGCGGCAAAATAGAACTATTTTGTTGAAATTGAGATGTAAAGTTTACATCTCAAAATTGAGATGTAAAATAGAACTATTTTGCAAACTTTACATCTCAAAATGAAAACTACATCATTTTTTTAGTGTTATTTTGTTTGTTTTAGCTCCTTTTAGCCTTCTTCGATTGAAATTGAGCTCTTAGTTCCAAAATAAATAAATAAATAAATATATAAATAACAAAAGACTATATGAACTCTTAATAACAAAAAGGTAAATCTATAGACTTTTAATAACAAGAAATAAAATCTCCCTACAATTAAATTCTACTTGTACCATATTCCTTAATCATCACTCCCCTTGGTTGTTAATGAAAGACGCTAATTTTGACATCAACGCCTAAGCCTTGCCAACATGAGGATTGAAGATGTAAAACACATGATCTTCCCCTAGTGTCTCAAAATACTCAACTTTCTTATGCTTCGACATTGCTTCATAGTATAGTCTCCCTCTATCCCTTAATATATCCTTTTCTGCAACTAGCACAAGCATTTTCTCACACGTAATTTGATCTAAACTCAGAGTTCCTTCGACAAATGGGTTGATTAGCGGGTCATCACATCCTTTATCCGACGGGCAAACATACTCCCACCATTTATCCACCAACTCTTTTCTCACTGGATCAGCTTGCTCTAATCCAATACGCTTAGAACTCCAAAAATACCGGTGAATAAGGATAATACCGTAAATTTTAAATTGATCAATGATTTCAACCATCCGAGCTGCTAGATGGTGGGCCATGGTGGCCCCCGCACTATCACCTGCTAAAAAGAACTTATTAAAATCCACTCCTTGATTGAGCCAATCTTCTGGTCCGCTTTCATTAGCATGGGCAGCCACCCATTTAATGGCTGCCCAAGCATCATCAAACGCGGTGGGAAGAGGGTTCTCGGGGGCCAGCCTGTAGTCTAGAGAGACTACTAAGGCATTGGCGGACCCTGAAAGTAGGTTACAAAAATTGTGGTAGACAGGCTCCGCGGGGGAGGCTATAAGAAAGGCTCCCCCGTGAAAGTATAAGACAATTGGCAACTTCTCACAAGTGGTTACATCTGTAGGACGGTAGAGCCTAGCAGAGAGACACGTGTTGGGTACAAGTACGACGTCTTTGGAGGTAACCCTTGTTGTTGGGTCAAACCCTGGAGGAACATGGTTAGTTCCGGCTAATCTTTCTATGGTTCCATCTTTGTATTCAACGAGGTATGGGAAAACATCATGGGCTACTTCTCTTTTGGTGGAAACACTTGATGGATCCATGGGAAAGACTCCGAAAGACTTAACGTAAGATGATTTTTAAGGTCTTATATATGTTTTTGAATGGAAAAAATGTGATGAAAATCTTGAAATGTTTTAGTTTGAAGAAAACAAATTAATGCTTCTTTAATCTAATATATATATGGGATAAGGAAACTTCGCAAGAGGTTTCTCTATTAGACAAAGTTATTTTACACGGAGTATACACTATTAGATTCCTTGTGTTGATAATACACTTGAAAAGGCAATAAATACTTTTTTTCCTTTTCTTTGATTTATATACTATTCCCTCCGTCCTTTATTTACATGTCTATTTTTAACATTTATTACTCACATAATAAAGAGAAATAAACATGTAAATAAGAGACTTATAGAGTACTATTGTATATTTGTATTGTGTAGTTCAGTCTAGCTAGGCTCCAATTACAACTCGTGACATTAAAGCATCAACTCTACTAACAATTGATCGGATGGATGATTATATTAGGTTGAACTCTCCAAGATTTTCAACAGTTATATACTTGTAGACACTTTCTTCGCACCAACTACCAAGTACCAACCACTAGGAGTATGTAAACGTGTACACGTGTATAGAACCATTAAAGGTTAGTTGCCATGATTGAATACATGCCCCATACAATTTATTTTATGCATGAATTTGTCCCCATAACATTTCCCATAAATCCATAATATTTGTTTAATTCTAAAATTGGTACCCCGAATTTTTTTAATGTATTAGTCAGTCAACACATAATGACAAAATTCAGAAAATTTAAGTGTAATAACTTGGTGCAGAGATATACAGTCATCGTTAATTAACAAAAAGATGTAATCTGTTAAAAAAAATAAAATAAAGGTACCTCACATTTTGTAAAACAAAAAACTAATTAGGACGTGAAATCTTATTATATTCATCTCAATATAATAAAATAAAATATATTGTATTTAGGATCTGTTTATATTTACTGAACTGAGCTGAATTGAACCAAATTGACTGGAGCTGAACTGAACTAAGGTGAAATAAATATTTTATGAGAGAAGGAAATTAGGAGCTGAACTAAACTGAACTGAGCTGAACTGAATTGAATTGAAATTAAGTTGAAGTGAACAGGCCTTAATCACTTTTAAAAAGCTGATGACAGCGGTGTCTTAATTAAATAATACAGTATCACAAATTTGTTGCCAATATGCTATCGATTTGGTTTTGAGTCATCTTTTTTACTTTAATTATGCTAGTAGATTATTATAGGCGAGTATAGCAAGGGTTTGTTTGATTAAATATATATATATATATATATATATAAATAACGTTCATTATTAGTCTAGTTGACTATGAAGTACATAATGTGAAGGAAAATAAAATACTTCATCAAAAAAAAAAATGTCATTAAATTACTCATCTGAGTCATCTTTCATTACAAATAAGATACAAAGTATATCATTGGTTTATTAGTTGCAAATGATTTTACTTTCATACGTATTATCTACTTTGATTTTTTTTTAAATGAGAAATACTTATATAGAAAAATATAGTCATGTGAAGTATATTTAGCTTGCTCTTCATTTTAACTTTCATTATATCAAATTTTAAGATATTAAAAATTAAAGATATAAGTGATTAATTGCACTTTAGCAAGTGTGAAATGAGAAATATTTTAATTAAAAGAAAAAATATACACTTCCTCCGTTTGTTTTTACTTGCAAAACATCTTTTAAACACGTAATTTTATGAGATGATTAGTTAAGGTAAATGAGCGATTTTATCAAAATAATTTTAACACGAGAATAAGAGTAGAGTTAGGGATCATGTGTAAAGATTATTTTGAATAATTTATTCGTTTACATTTAAATTCTCAACCTCAAAGTGTGTACCACAAGATTGTGTTGCAAGTAAATAGAAATGGAGGAAGTAATAGGGTACCGCAAATAACGGCGATCATTGTGGAGAACGAGTAATATAAATAGATGACATTTAGGTTTCAACTAATTAACTCTTCATCCACATCAATCAATCAAACTAAAGGAAAAAAAAAAAGAGCATGGCAAAGCAATCAACTTCATCCACTTCCAAGTTTAAGTTGACTCTCTTGGCATTTCTGATGCTCACTATCGTTGGTATGACTTATTTTTCATTCCCCTTTTATCTTTAGCTTCAATGTCATTGTGTAGGCTAGATAGCTTAATTAGTTAATGACAAATTAAAGGAAATATTAATTTCTAAAAATTTAACAAGGTGCCAAATTCGAGTAATAATTTTAACATGGTATCAAGATCCAGCGAGCTGAAATCTAAGGTTAGTTTTTGCTTCTTGAGAGTCCGTGTTAATTAATAAATGATTAATTGTTATAATGTATGCAGCTCCTACAATCGGCAGGATGCAACCAACAACTGAGACAATCCCAAAAGTTATGAAAACCTTAATACAAGAACTAGGAAAGGAACAACTTGGTGCTTATTACATGCAGGAAACAATAATGGCAGCAAATCAACAACTCGACTTGGAAGAACCAAAGCTCGCAATGTTCATTGAACAAAATCAACTGAAATGCACAGGACGCCGAGGATATTGTGATATAAATAACCCAAATTGTTGCGAGGGACTTACTTGTCAACGGATCAAATATCCTGATACCGCTTGCCTCTAATGCAATGGTTCGTTAGCAAGGGTACGGTGACTAATTAGGCGAAAATCGAGTTAAATAAATAAATGTAAGCAGGATTATGCATCTAATGGTACATTATATTGATGCTTGGTATGTGTATGTCGATCTATAGTTGATGATGTGCTCGGATCAGTAGTAGTTTTGTGAGGTGCTAGAAGATATGATGCCGATCACATCCGAATCGAATCATATTAGGTAGATCATTATATAATAGAATATTAATTTTTAGTTTGGCAAGGTTTATAAAATATACTAATGGTTTAACATGAAGGAAATAAAATAATAGTGTCATTAAATATCTAATTTTGGTATAGATCTGAATAATGAGTAATATATAGATGACATTTTGGGTTCCAATGTGTCATCCCCATCAACTCAAATCACAATTTAAGTGCAAAGAAATAAATACAAGTAATTGTATACAAGTATATACGAAGTATATATGAGCATGGCTAAGCAATCAATTTCAACCACTTCTAAGTTTGCTCTCTTAGCATTTATGATGCTCACTATAGCTGGTATATATTTATTTAATTTTATCTCTCTTTGATTTCATTATGTAAGCTATCTTAATTGGTTAAAGTCGAAACTAAGTAATAATCTTGATTTCTTAAAAATTAACTCATATAAGATCAAGCTAGAGTTTTGCTTCTTGGCTTTGGTAATTATATTATTGACTACTTGTTTTAATTAGTTGCTTATTAATTAACATGTACTGTAATGGTGTATATATACAGCTCCTATGTTGAGCGCGACGCAACTAACAACCGGGACAAACCCTGAAGTTATGAAAGCAATACTACTACAAGAGCTAGGAAAGGAACAATTTGCTGCTTATTACTTGAAGAAAATGGAATTGGAAGAAGCAAAGCTAGTCATGGTTGTCGAACAAAAGCCACTTAAATGCGAGGGAAAAGGAGGCCCTTGTACTTGGGCTGAGTGTTGTCCTGGTCTTTTATGTGCCTATGTTTTTCCTATAGGGAAATTTGGCACTTGTGTCGATCGATAGATGGTAGAGTATAAAACATGTTCCTGGGCCTCAATCATCAGCTTAACATTTTGGTTGAGTTGGTCCATTAACATGATATCGAAGTAAAGTCACGGGTTCAAATCTCATCCGTGTGGAATATTCTCAACAGACTCTTATTATGTAGTTATATAATGGGGCTTGATAGATCGAGTATATATATATAAAACATGTTCCAATGTATCAACCATCAATTTAAGCTTTTAATTGAGATGTACCTTTAATAATAGATGTAGATTATTTTGAATGTAAGTAGTATGTTTTATATATGTTGAATGTATGTGACCGAAGCTGGAACATCACTTTGAAACTTACTACGAAGTATATTTTATCTAACGTCTATCCACCTTTTAAAAAAATTTCTTAAAATTGAAGTACAACTAAAACATTAACAGATCACTAGCTTAACATTAGGTCCTTTGTTATCAGTTCCAAGTGCAATTTCGAAGATCCGAGTTTAATGGCAAAGTGAAGGTTGGTTAAAGAAGAGTTCACAGTACCAATTACAACACTGGAGGTTCATGAAACACTGGCCTCTAGTACCTGCAGCCATACACTGGAGTGTCCCCATTTGTTGCGCGATTGAGTAAGCGATCATGGCTTCTTTCAGTCCATTTGGGTTTCTACTTGTCATGAGTTGCTGGTGATAGGCATTTGCATTTACATTGTTATTAGGTTGTTGATGATGTAGCTCATCCAACTTATTTCCTTCTTCTATCATCTCTTGAATGATCGTAACCTTTTCGACTTTAGGCCTTGCCTCATCACTCACACCGCCGTCTGCTTGAAATTTTCCCATTGCTGCTGGAGCTGCATTCATTGATAAATTTATTAGCTTAATGTGATAATTAAATTTAGACATTTTGAGCTCAAAAGAGTCGTGAGTAATGATTGATTCCATGTTAATAGATTATCAAACTATCAAGGTAATAGAGTAATTAGGGTTTACACAAATTAAAGATGAGTGAGAGTGTATTTTATTTTTTAAAAAAATGATAATTTGAGTATGTTTGGAGACCATCATAGGAGGTACTTCTATATAAGGAAGTGATGCACGTTGTTATTAAGAAACGGCCATTATAATTTTCGCCGTTGTGTTATTAGCTTAAAATGCTTGAGTACTCCATGATAATAGAGTATATCAAGGGTAATATAATACTCCCTCCGTTTCTTAATTACTTTCCTATTTTCCTCTACTATATGAGGAATAAATGCTAGAAATAGGAATGTAATTTAGGGATAAAGGGAGTACAAAAATATATAAGAATACGGAGTACTTATGATGACATTACTCTATTATATGCTACCTCTAGCTCCTTCGGTTTTTTAACACTTGGAATATGCATTTATCACAGTCGCATGATTTAACACACTTCGAATGGGGTTAAGAGCCTGTTAGGTGTATATAGTAGTTAATTAGTTATGTAGTGGGTCGTGATTTGTATTTATTAGTTAGTACATTTTAGAATTGAATTTTGTAAAACCTTTTAACCTAATCTTATTACTCCCTCCATCCATTCTTGAATAATTAACATAGTCAAAATTGATACACTATTTTAACCTTAAATATATACAAAGTATGATTAACATGTACTATTAATTAAAAATAAAAAATAAAAAATTTAATATTATAAAACTTTATATTAGCAATGTTTATATTTCATGATAAAATTTGTTTTTATTTGTTATTACATAAATAGTGGTCAAAGTTAGTATATAAATAATGAAAAAGTCAAATATGTCAACAATATAGGAATAAAGGGTTTTCAACATACAAAGTACTCCGTACATGAATATACGATAGATATATGTATATTGACTATATTCCGTATTTATTTTCAAGTGATCACTAGTAGAGTAATAATTAGCTTAATCAGAATTTAATGAATAAGTTAAAACCAATTAGGTGGGAAAGAAAATACCAGAGATAGTGAGCAACAAAAAAGCTAAGAGAGCCAACTTAGAAATCAATTGCTTCTCCATTTTTTTTTTTTTTAATATTACTTTGATTATATTGAACTATTGAAGTGAAGAATTACAACTCCGAGTATCATCTATTTATAGTAATAATTTTCCATATTAAGTAAAGTTAAGTAATATATCAACCTCTAGTATGGCTAATCAAAACACCCCACCATGATATTTGCTGAATTCAATTAGAAATATTTATATCTGCTGCATCAACACGTGAAATCATATCCTTCAAAAAAAAAAAAAAAAACACGTAAAATCATTAATGCTAACTGAAACATATTGGAATCATTTAATGTTTTAGAAGGTTGGGAATTGGGCTAATTGCCTAGAAGTTCCAACAATTAGCTAAACAAAGTAACCTCAATTTCTAAATAATGCGTTGTCATTTGATTAAACTTAGAAATCATAATAATTTCGTACAAGAATATTGTTTGGATATTAGTAAAATTTATAATAATTTCATTTATGTAATTATGAGCTTACATATAAGTGATTTTTTTCCATTTTATAGGATGTGGAACTTTTAAGGAATGAAGGAAAATTTCTTATATAATTAAAGAGGAATATAGAGTATCTCCAATGGTTCAATTGTAAGGATTGCTTGCAATATAAATAAAGTTTCTATCTACATGCTTTATGCTTACCTGGAGAACAAAAAATTGAGCAACATTCAAGCTACTGTAGCCCAAACAAGCTACATGCTTGATTAAAAAAGAGACAAATAAACTCACTCATATTATAACATCAAAATATATATATATATATATATATATATATATATATATATATATATATATATATATATATATATATATATATATAATTCTTATGGCAACATTTTTTATTTGTTGTCTTTGTAAAAGTGTTGTAGTATAATTAAAGTAACTTAAGCTATGATTTAATATAGTACCAAGAAGACGATCCTCACCCAATACCTTGGGACAAGACTTTATATGACTTATATATTCCTCTTTAATTATGTAAGAAATTTTCCAAAATATGGATAAAAACACTTATATGTAAGCTCATAATCACATAATTGAAATTATTATAAATTTTACGAATGTCCAAACAATATTATCCTACTTTGTTTCTATAAAATGGATCTACAAAAACAAACTTCTTGAACGAAATTATTATGATTTCTAAGTTTAATCAAATGACAACGCATTATTTAGAAATTGAGTTTACTTTTTTTTTTTAATAGCTAGAAATTGATCGAGTTTTCTTTGTTTAGCTAATTGTTGGAACTTCTAGGCAATTAGCCCAATTCCCAACCTTTTAAAACAGTAAATGATTCCAATATGTTTCAGTTAGCATTAATAATTTTACGTGTTTTTTTTTTTCCATTTTTTTTGAAGGATATGATTTCACGTGTTGATGCAGGCATGCATCAGATATAAATATTTCTAATCGAGTTCAGCAAATATCATGGTGGGGTGTTTTGATTAGCCATACTAGAGGTTAATATATTACTTAACATTATTTTGGGCCTGTTCTCATTGACTGAACTCAGCTGAATTAAACTAAACTGAAATGAACTAAACTGAACTGAATTGAGCTGAACTGAACTGAATTGAGCTGAGCTGAGCTGCGCTGAACTGAACTGAACTGAATATTTTATAAGAGAAGGAAACTTTGAGCTGAACTGAACTAAATTTCAACGTAAGAGAACATGCCCTTAATATGGAAAATTATTACTATAAATGGATGATACTCGGAGTTATAATTATTCACTTCAATATAATCAAAGTAATATTAAAAAAAAAAAAAAATTTAAAACTAATAATCCCATCTTTGTCTTTTCTCATCAAAACATTCAAATTCCCAGAATAATCCCACCTTTGACCCCCATCTTCTTAAAACAGGCCTTTTACCGATTTGTGAAATTGGTAACTTATTTTAGAAGGTGACTTGCCGCGTGTAACCTTCTAATTGGTACAATTTTAATTTTTTCAATTAAAAAAAAACTTCCCTCCCCAACTCCCACCACCGCATCAGACACCACCTTACTCCTCTCCTTTTCGGCTTTCCCCGCCACCTCCCTTTCCCGGTTTCCCCGCCATTGCTAGGGGTGAGCAAAAATTTTGGGTACCCGGAATTGGAACCGGCGAGTACAGAACCGGAATTGGACCCGGTGATTCCAATTCCGGGTAAATTAAGGACCCGGTTATAACCAATTCCAATTCCAATTCCAATTCTCAACTATTTGGAATCGAAACCGATTGGGTATCTGGTTACCTAATATATGCTAACTAAATAAATTTTTGATGAGTGACATTTATGTCACTCATAGGATAGTGTTTATGCCTTGTTTTAGCTTGTCTTAGGGTGTTTTGTAGTTGTTTTGTTCAAATAATGCGTGCATACATGTCTCGATGTGTTTTAAATGAAATCGTGTAAATTCTTGAATGCTTGCCTTCATTGCGTGTTTGCACCGTTCCCTATACCTTATTGCTTCCCTTGGTGTTTGTGCTTAGGTATTTGAAGTCTTGGATTGCATTGAAGAAGCTAAGGAAGCATGAGAGAAAAATCGAAGAAAGCAAGGTGCAAGGGCGCGCACAATGTGCACGGGCGCGCGACTGATGTGTGCGGGCGCGCAGCCCTGTCAGAACCCGCGCAAAAGAGGCAAAATTGTAGAATCGAGGCATAAAGTTTAGCGCGACCTGCGCGGGCGCACAAACAAATGCGCGGGCGCACAGCCAGCAGCACGGGCGCACACACCCAAGCAGCAAGCCGCGCAACCCACGAATGCGCGATCGCACAGCCCACTGCGCGGGCACACATCGAGCCTTGTTCAGCGTTTTTTCGCGACTTCCTTTATATTTGCGAGCCTTGTTTTGTACGGGGGAACTCGATATTTTTAGATCTTCTTCCTAGTTTTAGAGAGAGCTTCTCTCTCTTAGGGTTAGATTAGATAACTTTTAGTGAGAGAAAATAGATTATGGCTCAATTTTCTTCCAAGATTCAATTTTGCTCAAGTTTAAGTTTCAATCAAGAAAGAATTCAAGTTTTCATCTTTCATTAATCCTTTCTTTAGTTTTCATCTTTCATTACGAAGTAATTGTTTTATTTCTAAAACTTTAAAGTAAAAAAAGAGTGTGGATAAAACTGTGAAAAAAGATGAAGGAATTTAGCTTAGTTAGATATATATATACATGAAGATAGTGGGATATGAAATGACATATTAGTTTAAATTATATTTAAAGTCTATGAGATAAAAAAAAAAAACAATTTTTATTATAATTCATATATTTTTGTAATGTGTACTAATTAATTGAACTTTATTTTATTATGGTTGAAATGAAACACTTTATTTTCTTACTTGAATTTGTAAGTTGTAGAATGCATAAAGACTTAAAAATAAATATTAAGGAAGCTGACATGTGGCATATGCAGTAATGAGTGACTTGTGATGCCATGTGTTATATGAAAATTTTGTTGTTTGTGTTTTTAAATGTTACACTTTTTTTTTTTTTTGCAAAAATTTACTCCCTTTATTTTATAATGCAATACTACCAATTGGTTGTTGGTGGAGTGGTGATTGACAGGATAAAATCGTATCTCCTAATCAAAAGAATTACCTAAATCCTCTAACAAGTCTTTCTATTCCTAATTAATTAACATAATCTTGCCCTGATATAAATTATTAAGTAACCAATTTATTGGTGTAGAGATAATTAAACTAAGGAGACTAAAGTGTAGGGAGAAATCAATTAATCAAAGCCTAGGGTATAGATTCACCAATAAACAATATTCCATGAGAAAACATAATAACAAATCACCAATGCTATAATTAATCAGATCATAAAGGGCTTTCGCTACGTATTACAATCACAAAATTAATCTACCGGTATTAAATCGCATCTCTCGGATCTTGACTTAACGATTTTATAAGTTAACTCGCCTATTGAAACTAAGCTTAAACATCAATTCTCATCTCTTAGCTTGGGTTGAGTGTTGTCCTGATCTTATGTGTGCCTATGTTTTTCCTATAGGGAAATTTGGCACTTGCGTCAATCTATAGATGTAGTTTATTTCGAATGTAAGTAGTATGTTTTATGTGTGTTGAATGTGATGCTTGTGCATTGAACATCACTTTGAAACTTAAATATTACCTAAAGCCTACCCACTTTTCCCAAAATTTTCGGTTTGTTATAAAATTAACTCAACTAAAAGCTTAAATAGAAGGTTCGGGCTAAAAAATATGTTTTATAATCTATCACTCCCCATTGGACTTGGAATGTGGATGCAGCATGGACCCTCCTCATTTCCAGCGTAAAATATTCCACTTGAAAGTGGGGGGTTGGATGAGATTTAAACCCGTGAACTTTATGTCACACTTGACTCTAATACCATATTATAGGATCAACTCAACCAAAAATTTAAACTTATGGTTGAGCTCCAGTAATATGTTTTATACTCTATCATGTATCTACATTATTACTTATTAGCCGAGTAGAACATAAAAAGGCGAATTAGTACTTCAAAAAAAAAATAGAAAATCATGGATCTCCCCGAGTATACAACAAGGACCTTTATTCATATGCATAATTCAAACAAAACACAAACTAAACAGAAGTAAAAGAACAAGGCCAGGCCAGGCCAGCCTGCCAGGAGCTTAATTGAATTAAAACAAAAACATCAGATCACTAGCTTAGCATTAGGTCCTTTGTAATCACTTCCAAGTGCAAGATCGAAGACGACTCGAGGGATAGTTTAATGGCAAAGTGAAGGTTGGTTAAAGAAGAGTTCACAGTACCAATTACAACACTGGAGGTTCATGAAACACCGGCCTCTAGTACCTGCAGCCATACACTGGAGTGTCCCCATTTGTTGCGCGATTGAGTAAGCGATCATGGCTTCTTTCAGTCCATTTGGGTTTCTACTTGTCATGAGTTGCTGGTGATAAGCATTTGCATTTACATTGTTATTAGGTTGTTGTTGATGAGGACGACGTAGCTCATCCAACTTATTTCCTTGTTCCATCATTTCTTGAATGATCATAACCTTTTCGACTTCAGGTCTTGCCTCATCACTCACACCGCCTTCTGCTTGAAATTTTCCCATTGCTATTGGAGCTGTATGTATTGATAAATTTATTAGCTTGCTTGCTAGTTATATACTAATATACGAAGTATATAAGAACGAACATTGTTGCTTAAATTGGTGGACGGCATGCATGCATATATATACATAATATAATATCAAATAACTCCATGCTAATAGAGTATATTGTTGAGCCTATGAGAAAATCCACATGTGAGTGGTGTGTTATTCCACATTGGTTGAGTTTACAAGTGAGAGTTTGTATTGAAATGTGTATCCCACATTGAAGAAATAAGAAAGTTGTGTCTACTTTATAAGGCTAAGGGGCTACTTCCCTTATTGCCATATGGTTTATTTTGAGGTGTAACCTCTTTAGATCTATAAAGGGGATAGTAGTGACGGGTGTGGCCCAGGCACGTCTATCATATATCAAGGGTATTTGAGAGTGAAGAATAGCTCAAGTGGTTAGAGTTCTCTTCTCGGTTCCAAGTGATTCTGGAATTGATTCTCATCACACGCTCTTGTGGCTCTCTAAAGACCAAAAAAAAAACAATATACAAAGTTGTGTACTTTGAACTAGTATTTTTATTGTGAGAGACAAACTCCTGTAATGTTGACTGAGTAACTTTTAGCTATAGATTTAGATTGAGTAATTACCCCTGTAACACTGATTGATCTGAGTAACCCGTAAACATCGTCACTGACGAAATAACTCCTATAACACTAACTGAGTAATCCCTATTGATTAGGGGATTTTTCCCCACCAATCACCATCTAACAAGTGGACCAATCAGGTTCCGCCATGTGTCCGTCACATGGGCCAATAGGAGCCTGCCACGTGTCAAGCAATGATCCGTCCACTATGGACCAATTACGACACGACACGTGTCCTTCCCATGACACCTGGGATAACCGGTCACCTAGGCCCAACTTCCGTGGGAAGCCCAATCAGCCCAAGGTTAACCTAAACCTAGATTGACACGTTTCCCGAGGTTATAAATACCTCCCTTAATCCTCATTAAGGGAGATTACGCAGATTACACACATTAAACTCTCTCACCTAGAGAGACCCAATCACTTTAATTTCCGCATTAATTACTCCTTAATCAAGTACTAACTTGACCGTCGGAGGCGGATCTCCAATCATCCGGAGCATCCGTTTGTTTTGCAGGTACAGGCGTCCGGTTCCAGTCTCGGAATTGTAACTCTCCCGCAGGACATCAGAAAACCCCGAAACATCTTGGCGCCGTCTGTGGGGAGAGTACTTCTGAGATGGCATCCACGTTTGTACCGGCTCCTGAAGAGAGACGTCCCCTGGACGACCATCTAGTTCAGTCGGACCACGATACTGAGAATGAATTTGAAGTTGAAGCTCACACAGCTTCAGACGGGACCCTAAGGGCCCGACGTACCCGTCATACCGAAAGGAGGGAACGGGAACATCTTCAAACTGGAAGCGAGCCAGCAGGCGCACCGCCTGTTCGACAGCAGCCGACTGATGGGTCTGCTCCCATCACAAGGAACGAACTCATGACCTTCATGAGGGACTTCAAGGGAGAAATTCAAGAGTTGATCAACAAGAAGCCGCCTGCTCTGGACAAGGAGCAGTCGGCTAAGAAACCCTCCACTTCACGGAAGAGGAAGCCAGTTCAAGGGCGAGAGGCGACCCCTCATCCTAAATCTAGGAAGTGGGAGCCACCTGCCCTTGATTTCACAAAATACCGTTTTCCTACTCCAGGAAATAGGAAACCTGTTCGTCATATTCAGGCGGACGGGTCGAGGAAAACATACACAGACGCTCGGCTACTGCTAGAGCAGAAGAAGAGTGACCGATTGTCAGAGTCGGCCTCTACTTCAAACTTCCAAGACAGTATGTGAAATACCTCGATGAGGCATACTCAGTCGTATCATGAGAGTCAGTCAGGCGGCACCTCCCGTCAGTCCGGCTTTCATAGCGACCAGGCGGTACCAAACTTACCGTTTGTACCGCAACAACAGTATTTTTTACAGCCACCTCCGTTTGGTGGACATGCAGCAAAAAGTGTCCAACCTATGGACTGGCAGCTACGGTTGCTTAGACTTGGTGAATAGCCGTCGGCCTTCTCCAAGGAAATTACTGAAGCCGCTCAGCCGGTCAAAGTGAAAAATGTATTAGTAGGCGCCTATGACGGCACTACTAACCTAGAAGACCATCTGATGGCATTCACCAACCTGATGTACCTTCAAGGGTTGGATGATCCCACTTGGTGCAAGTGTTTCCCAGCGACTCTCAAAGGAATCGCACAACAATGGTTTGGCAACCTGCCGACTGGTTGTGTAAATAACTTCAAGACGCTTGCTTACTTATTCACCTCCAACTTCGCCATGAACATCCCTGCGAGAAGACGACCCTTGATTTAGGAACAATTCAGCAGGGCGAGAAGGAGGGGCTTCGTTCTTACATCAGGCGGTTTAACCTGATGAGAATACAGATTCAAGGGTTACCGGATGAAGTAGCCTATACTGACTTGTTCAGAGGTCTCAAAGACGGGTCGACCTTCAAATTTGATTTGGTCCGAAAGAGGGTGGCGACTCTTCAAGAGGCCTTGATTGAAGCGGAAGCTTATATACAGGCGACTAATCTTTGTAGTACGGTAAAACAGTCAGACGGGAGAAGGTCCGACAAAAGAGAAGGACGACAGAAACAGTCGTCAAACAAAGACGAGAAGAGAAAAGAGGTCTGGGCGGCTGATTCCTCTAAACAGCCGGCCCAGAAAAAGAAAAAAGAATTCAAACCATACTCCCCAAAGTATGCGTTTAACAAGGATAGCCAATTTATCCTAAAGGAAATCAAGGGACGGATCTCAATTGAGAAGCCGGTCCCCATGAAGGGTTCTGCAAACAACCGGAACCAAGAAAAATTCTGTGATTATCATGAAGATGTTGGTCATCACACCAATGAATGCATCAGTCTCATGCGGTATCTGGACCGCCTGGCTGAGCAAGGTGATCTTGACACTTATGTCAAGAAATCTACGGGGAACACTTCCTCGAAAAAGCAGTCGGCCAAAAAGAATCAATAGGCCGACAGTTCCGATACAGATGATGCAGTCGTCTACACCATTGCAGGCGGCTTCTCAGGAGGCGGCCCCACTATTAGGGGCAACAAAGACAATATCAGACGGTTAGGTGTAAATTCCGTTCACCAAGAACGGCCCTCCAAATATTCATTTCCTGAGATTGTCATCACTAAAGAAGATCTAGGAGGGGTAAGAGGGCCGCATGACGACCCTATCGTTATTGAATGTAAAGTGGCCAACCAGAGAGTTGGCCGAATCCTCATAGATACCGGAAGCTCCTCAGATCTCATCAGTAGCAAATGTCTGTCGAAACTAAAATATCAGACTGATTGCATACATCCGGCATCCCACCCTTTAGTAGGGTTTGGAGGAGGAGTCGTCCACCCAGTGGGACGAGTGGATTTACCCATCCGCCTGGGCGAAAAAGGGGAAGGACGACACATGGTAGTCCGGTTCTTGGTAGTAGAAGAACTCTCGGCCTACAACATGATTCTGGGACGACCAACCCTGAATAATTCCAAGGCTGTTATAATCCCATCTCTTATGTTGCTCAAGTTTGAGAGGGATAATGGAACAGTCGGGTCTCTAAGGGGAGATCAGAGGATGGCCCGTGAGTGCTATCTCTCGGATGTCAAGCCCACTGTTATGGCCACTGGGTCGAGCGGTGGAAAAATAGACCTTGACAATGTCAAGGAGAGTGCACCTGTTCAAGAAGCAGGCGGCAAGAAGAGAAAGGCATCCCAGACAGGGGCCGCAAGAAAAGACAGAAAATAGCAATCATTGGCAGAGGAGCGGTCGGATGAATTCCGCCCTCAGCCAGCTGGTGAGCATACGGACCTAATCTTAGATGACTCGCGTCCTGACAGAACAATCAAGGTTGGGACGACTGCTCTAAGGGACCTGGGTGACGACTTTCACAAACTATTGAAAGAATACAAGGACATCTTTTCATTCGAAGTCCATGAAATGCCAGGCATTAGTCCTGATCTGGCGGTACATAAACTGGTCGTGGATCCAAAAAAGAAGCCGGTACGGCAGAAGAAGCGGAACCATGGCGAAGAAAGACGTCAGGCGGCAGCCGCCGAAGTTAAAAAATTACTTGATGCAGGGTTCATTCGGCAATGTTACTTCCCAGACTGGGTTGCAAATGTGGTGCTTGTTAAAAAGCCGAATGGCACCTGGGGAATGTGTGTAGACTACACAAACTTAATCAAGGCGTGCCCCAAAGACAGTTACCCTCTGCCTAAAATTGATAACCTGGTCGACTCAACAGCCGGCCATGCTTTGATGAGCTTTATGGACGCCTACTCTGGTTTCCATCAAATTCCTTTATGGGAGAAAGATCAGGAGAAGACGGCCTTCGTCACTGATCAGGGGTTATACTGTTACACGGTCATGCCGTTTGGTCTTAAGAATGCCCCGGCCACTTTCCAGCGAATGATAAACACTGTGTTCTTTGATCAGATTGGGAGAAATGTCAAGGCATATATTGATGATATGATTGTCAAGTCTAAACTTCACAAAGATCATCTGTCGGACCTCCGAGAAACTTTCGCCACACTCAAGCGGCACCATGTCATGCTCAATCCCAAGAAATGTGTCTTTGGAGTTGAGTCTGGGAAATTTCTCGGATTCCTTATCAATCAGAGAGGAATAGAGGCGAACCCTGAGAAGGTGCAGGTGGTCATCGACATGCAGTCGCCTTGTACCATCCGAGAGGTTCAGAAGTTAACAGGTTGTCTGGCGGCCTTGGGAAGATTTCTAAGCCGATCAGGCGACAAATGCCTATACTTTTTCCAGGCAATTAAGAAAAAGGCAAGGTTTGAATGGCGGCCGGATGCTGAGGCGGCCTTCCAGAAATTGAAAGTTCACTTGCATTCCTTGCCGAGGCTGGTCAGCCCTTTGCCCAAAGAAGTACTCTACATGTACCTGGCCGTCTTTGATCATGCGTTAAGCGCTGTTCTCCTTGCTGA